CCCCCCCCCCCCAAACAACAAAAAAACAACAAACCATTTCAGGGACTATTTGCAGTGTCCTAAGATATTCCTTATATCATGTAATGTAAAGATTTTCTTTTAAGCAAACAGGTGCTGCAAAGACAGATTGTTCCTATGCAACAATAGTCATCGCCCAGGGGAGTTCTGTTTAAGCGTTATTGCTGCTTGACTCTGCTCTTCACAAAGCAGGCTCAGGAAGTGTGGTTTCAAACCTGCATGAAACATTCCTTTGTTCCTGGTGACCTGCAGTTATTTTTGTGATGCCTTAACCTTGAAGTAGAACATGTTCAATTTTTTTCCTCTTTAATCTTTTTTTATATGCTCAAGGCAGTTAGCTCTATGACTTCTGAAAGACTAAGTAAAATTACTGTTGTGAACAAGCATTCTTTTCTGTTTGGAAGAGATGGAAATATCCACACTGGTACTGAGCTCTTTGATTCCAAACATACAATGATTCTAAAATTTATTTGAAGCTATCAGCACTGAAACTGTTAGATATTTTTCCATTTGAAAATCCTGGTAGGTTTGTAACTTCTTGAAGCGTCCTCTGCAGAATTTCTGTCAACTTGTTTCAGTGGCAACTGATTTTTCTGCTTCTCTTTTCTTGATGTTATCTATGTCTTTGATACCTTCTTGACCACTAGGTTCCTCCACTGGTAAATCCTACCCTATGTGTTCTCTGAAGTCAGGAAGTCATATCTTCAAAGTCAGTGGTTCACCTATATTCTTCTAAGCATGTGCCAGGATACTATGTAGTAACTTAAGAATGCTGAAAGAGATCTGTAGTTATTGTAGCTAGAACCCAATTTGGTGTGTTCTAGGGAAAAGCAAATTGCAAGAAACAGAACCTGATTCTTTGTTGCTACCCAGGAAGATAAAGAATACTGTAATAGAAGGATTTACAGGTTTTGAGTAAAAGTCCAGAACTTTTCAAAGAAATATATATATTGTTGAGCTTTGACCATCTTCTATAGAAAGCCAGTTTTAGAAGTAGCTTTTGGGTCATCTGTTACTCCAGAATACAGAGATTAACTATGTTTTGAAGTAAAGATGTTTTGGGAGAAGGTTCTGAAAGCCTTTTAAACATAATCTAAGGTGCTGGAGCTTAAGTGGGCATCCTTTAAATCATTTTGTATTGCTCTGTGTTCAACCTCTACCTGTTCAGGGAGACTGAGGATATAATTCATTGAGTATATTCAGAGTTATGCTAAGACATAGAAGCAAATAGGATCCAGCTCTGAACTGTTTTAAATCTGCAGGGGTTACAGAACTAGACACCAGTTAGACTTTTCTTTAAAACTCAAATCTTGAGTGCTTTTAAAGTTGCCAGAGAATAGCTCACTTGCACCCCAATCACTTTTCAGAGAAGAGTGGCAGAACATGATACTGAAGTTCAGAGGTGTCTCCTGCTTAGCAGCTTGGTTAGTGACTGGTTTGCATTGCTGCAGACCAGATTACCCACTTAATGAACACACTGAAAACAGATGGGATGGGGGCGGCAGGGGTGTATGCGTGTAGAATCAGGTTGGCATTCCTTTGTCTGGAGAAAATTGTTGGGTTTTTTCTTATTACCATGTCTTTCCCTTCAGGTATGTCCACAATTTGAAACAACTAAGTCAGTGGTGTTGAAACCATGCCAGAAGAAGCACTATGGACCTCACAAAGCTCAGAATCAGGATGCCAACCACAGTTCGCTTCATGCAGGAGGAGCTTGTCGAAGAGGTATAGCCTGCAAATTTCCTCCTTTAGCTTTTGAGAATCCAGAAGGATATGCAGTCCACCCCTCAGATCATCCAAATGGCTCGAGGAAGAACACACAGCGCTCTCACAACCAGCCCAAGAAAGGGACAGCAGCAAAAGCCAATGTCCGGGTGAACAGTCTGCAGAACTGTAGAGAAATACCTTTGTTACCTGTTCCCCAGCCTGTGGAGCCAGAAGTCTTTAGTCTACCAGATGCAGAGACTCCACAGGTGCCTCCCATAAGGAACTGGAATTGCAGCAGCACTCTGCCACAAACAAGTAGCCATGCCTGGCATCCAGAAAAAGAGCTGGCATTTGGTATTGATCCCAGTGAGAGAGGGGAGTCAGCAGCAGTACTGGTTACAGATACTCCTGAGCATGAGTATGGAGTAAAGGTTACTTGGAGACAAAGGCCTCATCTAATGAAATACCTGCTGGAGACGGGGAAGCTGAGTGCTGCCGACATACTGGTGAAGGCAAACCCTGAGCTCTCTAGGAGACAGGATGATGTCTGACCTGGAGGGAGCAGTAATCTTGTTATGTGCAAATACACATCCAAACAGACAATGTTACTTTGAAGGATGGAAGAGGGGAAATGATTTAAGCCAAGCCCTGTGCTACAGCTGGCCGATCCTCCTGAAAAATGCTGCAAAGGCGCCAGGGGTGTTTTCTTGGGGGTGGGCGTACGCTGGGCCGGATTTCCTTGGGGAACGGGGTGGCCCTGAAAAGAGCTTTCTAATCTACGTGGCTTCTTGCAGGAGCTGTCGCTCCAGCCGCGGGGGCGGTGGAGGGTA